TTTTTTTTTAAACGGAACCTTATGGTTCCGGCTCCTTATCCATTCCACCGGCAAGTCTGAAAAGATTACAATGTATACACACTCTCGCTCGAAGGAGGCATTGATTACTTCCCTGGGGAAGGATGTACCACCCTGTTTTGGAAAATAGGTTATGAAAAGTTGTGAAGCAAAAAAAAAAAAAGAAAAAAAAGGAAAAAAAAAAAAAAAAGAACTACGCTCTTTCTTGATTCTATGGGTGGTGGTGCATGACCGCTGGTGGATTGGTTTGCCTGGTTAACTCCGTAAAGAGGAAGGGGGGAGATTATTATTTTCTATTAAAAAAAAAAAGGAAAAAAAACAAAAAAAAAACAAAAAAAAAACGAAGACGCTTACCGTTCCACCGTTCCTCTGTTTTGCGCCTGATCTCTGAATGATAGGCATCATCGTCAAAGACAGACCCGGTCAAGATCACTGCCTCGGTGGGAATGACAATAATGGGCCAACGACAAGAGCAAGCATGGCCCAATGTCTTGTATGTGGTCTAACATTTTTAAAAAGGAGATAGCCGGTGAGGGGTGACAGCAACAGGTGGCGCAGCCCGGTGCATTGTGAACGCTCCGCCATCCGACGACGACACCTGAGTTCGAATCCAGATGGAACCAGATGAACAACGTTCCTGAATTACTTGGGGGGCCGGTCAGTTTCACGATGATACCTCAAGGCTATCGCCCTTTGAAAAAAAAAAAAAGGCGATAGCCAAGGAGGGGTCGCGACAGCAGGCGGTACAGCCCATATGTGTTTTGTATGATCAACCGTCTGAACGTGACACCTTTGTCCCTTTTTCACTGGGCCGGTCAGTTTCAGGATGATACCTCAAGGCTGTCGCCCTTTCAAAAAAAAAGGGATAGCCAAGAAGGGGTCACGACAGCAGGCAGTCCAGCCCATATGTGTTTGTACGATCAACCGTCTGAACACGACACCTCGGTCCCTTTTTCACTGGAGTGGCAAGGTAAGGGCTGAAAACCCATTGTAATTTAGACCATCTACCTCCCATATCAAGGCAACCAACGGCTTGGCCTCTTGTCCGGTGAGAGTGCCAACAACAAGGGGGAGTAAGAACAGGGAACGCAGCCCAGTGACCCTTTTTCTGATGATGACCCTCGCTCCCTTGTTCGACAGGATGACGAGAAATGGCTGACTGAATAGGCGGCATGGGGTCGGCCAGAGTGTCTTAACAATCTTTCATCTGAAGGTGCCACCTTGGCCCCTTGTGCCATGGGATATCCAACAAGGGGGGAAAACAGCAACGGCCAGAGCATGCCAGTGTCTTTTATACGCTCTACCGTCTGGAGGCGATACGTTGGTGCCTCGTTCGATGGGACGACCCGTAAAGAGTGTCAGCGACAGAGGACGCAGCCGACCCCCCATAGATCTGAAGATAACACCTTGGGGAACATCTTGATAGATGGGATGGCAGGTAAGGAGCGATAACCAGAGGTGGCGCACACAGCGCAGTATCGCATACCTCTAGCTTAACTGATGGTACTTGAAGTAAGCTCAATGACAAGACTGGTCGTAGGATGCGATACGTGTCATGCGATCCATCCATCCATCGTCAGAGGTCATTGGGTATGCGTCATGGCAGGTCATGCATATGGGGAGCGGCGGACCCAAGGAGTCATCGACATGAACGGTATATGGATGCGATGACAGAAGATGGCGGAGCTATGAGAGCTGAGAATGTGATAGCGCAGGCAGGCAAAAGTTTCAACCTGTCCGCGATTTCGCCGCCATTCTTCGTCGGGTTCGAGGGTTGTTGATTATGGGGTAAGGTCCCAGCGACTTTGGCATTACACGTTTTGGAAAGGTCAACCTGTCGGCGATTTTGCCTCGAATCTTCTTCCCGTTCTTTTTTTTTTTCGGTAAATTGTGCAGGCTGGTCTTCTCCTCGTATGGGGGGCAGCGGCATTTTTACTACTATGCTATTATCTTCTCTCATAATTGTACCTCACATTACCTACCCTTGGCAGGCAAGAGAGCATCCCCTCCCCCCTTTCCCCCTCCCCCCACAGACAAGCCCGGAACTTAATTTATCCAAAGATAGGCAACCTGGCCGCAACCATACTGTATACCCCATACCAGCAAGAAGGTCCAAGGTCTAGGGGCCAGGAGAGGGTCATGGTTTTTAACTACGGAAGGGAAGACCAACTGTACTACCCCCTAAGTCTACTGCTAAGAAGTACAAGAACCAGCCTTCAATGTAGTAATCAGGCTTAAGCTGTCCTACGGTTATGGGTCTACGCCTACCTAACTCAGTTCTGTGCGGGATAGCACCCAAGNTAGTAATCAGGCTTAAGCTGTCCTACGGTTATGGGTCTACGCCTACCTAACTCAGTTCTGTGCGGGGTAGCAGCACCCAAGCTTCGAACACCTGGGGCAGGCTGGAAAGTCGGACGTCGACTTCGACAACCAGCCACAGTAGGGACAAGCCGACTTTCTCAGCCGGTGAACCTCAAGCCTGAAGCATGCAACACAGGGGCCTGTGGGGAATCGAATGGATGATGTAGAGAATCGAACCCATGACCTCCTGCGTACCACTTACGTGCTCAACCAGTCCAGAGTGTGTTGTGGGTACTTCGCCAGCATTGAGTGTTTTTGAAAAGTCAACTCAGTTGGCAGTCGGCGGCCCTCTCTGCCATTCTTTGCGTGGTTCTGCAGGCCGTATACTGTGCTTTTCTTTGGTGCATGATCACGCGAATAATGAGGGTAACGAGGTCTGCCCACTTCGGCGGCATTATACGTTTTTGTCCCTACCTTCTTCCCCCGAATACAACTTACGGTCATTAAAGCTGTATTTGGGGTATCTTGCAGTCTAAATACAGCTAAAATGACCGTACGTTCTGTTTGGGGGAAGAAGGTAGTCTTCGATCTTCCCTGGTATGCGTCTTGCGGCGTAGTTTAGGGGTATACAGTACTACCCCTCTAGTCTAGTAATAAGCATGGTGGGAGTTGGGTGTAGACAGTACTACCTAGCACTGCCCTTTCATACTAACTAGTGATAGCTTATAAGCATGGAATGGGAAAGATCCAGTACCTTCTGAGAGGGTACTCACGCGCTGGACTGTATGGATGCATCTCTGAGCACAATTGCACCACACCCTGGACGTATCTGACCACAATTGCGTCCAGGGGTGCATAGAAAAGACCCAGTGAGAGTATGCGCCAAGTATTGCAGCTTCTGAGTATTGAAGCTAATCAAGCGTGTCCCTGCACTTTGTACTGCTAATCATAAATTATCGGTACTAAATGAATGGTGCTGTTAATGCGGTCACATACATTGAACATAGGGCTGGTGTGAGTAGGCCCTAAACTGTTCACAAAGTTCTGAGGTGAGTTCTGCAGTGGCATCAGTTTTTTTTTTTTTTTTTTTCATTTTTTTTAGCATCAGTTTCTTTTTTTCCCCCTATTTGCCTGCTTGGCAACGAGAAAATCAACAGTGAATTACCTCAGCCGCTCTCTTGCACTATAGCAACCCTGCTGACTGGTAGGGACACACTCACACTAGAACTTCTCCACTTCTCTCTGGACATAATTGCCGTCTCGCCCTCATCTGGACCGGGTCGGAAAAGCGGTCATATACATCCGGGAAAGTCCTATTGTGAGTGTGCCTTCGGCTGGGATTCAGGGGCATATTTGCGAGGATATGGTAGGTTCCCACCATTCTCGCAATTGTTTTTTGTATGGGAGGGAAATCCTCACTTTCTCTCCCATTTTCAGAATCTCTACTTCAGGGATATCTAATAACTGTCAAGCTTGTGTTCATAAGAGGGTGCACGTGTGTGTGAATGTGCATGTGTGCACATGCACATGCCGACTCTCTCTCTCTCTCTCTCTCTCTCTCTCTCTCTCTCTCTCTCTCTCTCTCTCTCTCTCTC